CACTAACCAGTGGGCAAGTCTTTGTTTGGAGACAGCCTTCCCCTTCTGCTGTCCTCCGAAGCAGACAAAGAGCTGGTCTGAGGTCCTGAAGCTCTGCGTACGGTCCACGTAAACGCACAGAGCATGAACGGGGCAGAGCAGAGCGACGGCTGGGTCTGCCTCCTCCCGGGGCAGCGCTTGCCAGTTCACCACCTGATCCCTAAAAGGCGTGGTGGGAACTTTGGGCACATATTCAGGTTGGGATCTCAGGACAACGTGAGAGTTACCCGTTCCGAATTCCAGGCACGAATCGTCGATCGAAAATGCCTGCAGGTCCCCTACCCTCTTGACCGAGGCCAATGCGGTGAGGAGCACTGTCTTCAACAACAGAAACTTAAGCTCTACTGACTGCAGAGGCTCAAAGGGCTCCCCCTTCAAGGCCGTCAGGACCGAGGGGAGATCCAATATGGCGCTACCAAGAGGACCTACTCCTCGTTCTCGCTGACCTTGCACAGTGTCTGTGCGAGAAGGCTCACTGGGGGAAAAGCATATTTGCGTAGGCTCCGAGGCCAGCTGCACGCTAGTGCGTCTGTGCCGAGGGTTCCCTCGGCCAGGGAGTAAAACAACTGGCAATGGGACGTGTCCGGGGAGGCAAACAGGTCTACCTGAGCATCCCCAAAGCGTCTCCAAATCAGCTGGACTGCCTCAGGGTGGAGTTGCCATTCTCCCGGAGGGGGCGGGCTGACGTGAGAGCTCTTCGGCTGCACGATTGAGCTCGCCTGGGATGTCCCCGGCCGGAGCCTTGCCGCTGCATTCCCATTGCACATGGCACCCCAGCCCGTGGCAGAGGCATCTGTTGACACAACAACATGCCTGGATACTTGCCCAAGGGACACCCCTTTCCGAAGAAAGGCAAGATCTGCCCACGGGCTGAAGGTCTGACGGCAGCACGGGGTGACAGAAACCCGGTAAGTGCCGTGCCATGCCCATCTCGGGACCCGGTCGTGAAGCCAATGCTGAAGCGGTCTCATATGAATCAACCCGAGGGGCGTGACAACGGCTGCGGATGCCATATGCCCTAGGAGCCTCTGAAACTACTTCAGTGGAACCGCCGTCTTGCACTGGAAGGACCCCAGGCAGTTCAGCATCGACTCTGCACGTTCTACTAAGAGACGTGCCGAGAGGTTGACCGAGTCCGGCTCCATGCTGAGAAAAGAGATCCTCTGCACCGGGGAGAGTTTGCTCTTTTCCCAGTCGATCACTGCAAACCAATCGAAAGGACGGATGCATTGAAAGATGCGTTTCTGCGTCAACACCCTGAACGGGAGCTTGTGAAGGGCCTGGTTCAGCACGCGCAGGTCCAGGATTGGTCGTAACCCACCGCCTTTCTTGGGTACGATGAAGTATGGGCTGTAAAAACCTGACCTCATCTCGGCTGGAGGGACCGGCTGTATCGCGTCCTTCGCCAGCGGGACCGCGATCTCTGCACGCAAGACAGGAGCATCCCTGTCCAGCACAGAGGAGAACCGAATGCCCCTGAACTTGGGAGGGCGCCGGGTTGAATTGAATCGCATAGCCGAGTCTGATGGTTCACATGAGCCAGCGAGACGGCCTGGGGCACGCTGACCAGGCCCCCAGTGACCGAACATGCGGGACTAGGGAAGCCACCGAAGTACCCGCAGTGGGGCAGCGCAGTGGAACACAGGGACCCAACCCGGGAGGCTTCCGTGCGTCCCAGGGTGGGGTCTGAGTGCGCGGCGCGCCACTTACCTGGCTCCACGGCTGGGCAGGGGGCTCGTGAGGAGGCATAGCATCCTTGAACTGAACCCTGCTGCCTATTGAGGAAGGGAGCCTAGCTCGCCCTCCGATGCAGCGATCGACATCCTGTCCTCTGCCTGTGTCCCACACAAGATGCTGGATCCCGCTCTGTCCGAGGACCCAGCACACTCGTCCGGAAACCCCAGGAGGTGTGCCATGCTTGAGAAATGAGAGGCCCGCGGAGACGTACTCGACGGGGAAGCTCTCACTGTAACCCTCAGGTCTCCCTGACCATGAACCGAAGTAGCCCTCCGAGAACCGGAAGAGCTAGAGCGGGGCATGGCAAGAGGTCGTGGCGAGACCGCAGAATGGCAGCTGCAGCACGCCGAAGATGAGCAGCACTGAATGGCAACACCCGCTGACGCGTCATAACACCAACGCCAGCTGTTTCTTCCAAACACTCGCGGAGATTCGCCCTGAGAAGGCTCGGCTCTGAAGCGAAAAGCTGATGTGCGTTTGCACGCGCTCTCCTTTTATACCCGCGCTGCGGGGCGGGGTGCGCGTGGCGAAACACGCACGCCAACTGTCATTGGCTTGTTTAGTTTACACTCAAAGGTGATTGGGCTCTCGGGCGAGATCCCAATTCGTCAGTCACGACTGACATAACGTAGAACGTGACTGACTGAAAGGGAACTCTGATTGACATGGAAAAGATTGCGTGTTGTGACGTTTGCGTATGTGGTTAGTGACACGGTGTCCGTGTTTGTTAAACATGGTGGACCATCTCCAGTGATCTGATGATTGCTAAACTCAACTCAAACACTCTCAAAGATCATTGCTGCGTCCCAATGTGCCTACTTACACTACACCCTTAAAGTACGTACTCCTTTGGTGAAGAAAAAGAACACGCTTTTGAGTGTGCAGTAGAAAAGTAGGCAAGCTTTTGGGACAAACTCTCATGTCATATAATTGCGTCTTTAACGGAGTGCTCTGTCGCATAATTACACGCACCCTGTCACTGTAAGCTGGCCTGTCAATCATCTTGTCACAGTTAACATCGTCCACATTTCATTTAACTTCCTACCATATCAGAGAGAAATGAAGAGGCACGTTGATCTGCGAGCCGCGGGTCTTTATGCAGAGAACTCTGCTCAGATTTTCTGCATAATAATGCATTTAAAAGTTAACGACCAAATGCATGTTTACAAAAGTTTACATTGTTGTTGAAGATGAAATATAACACAAATAACGTTAAATAAATGTTTTTTTAGCAGGTTAAATGTTGATTATTAGTAACTCAAACCCGTTTATCTAAACCTCTCTACTTAACCTTGTGTTGCATTCAAGTCCTCCTGGGACATTCGTACTTACGAGTTAACAAGTCGTAATTACGACGTCAGGTGCGTTCAAGTCAGTTTAGTCGGCACAAGATAGCGGTGTACCTTCTTTTAATAAATTACAAGAAAATACAACAGGGTCTGTTAACTCTGCTTATAGAAAATGAAGAGCAAAGAATTCACATCAGGTGTGTTATGATAGCATTTTTTTAAACTTGGATTTCATTAACTAGCTGCGTAACAATAACACGACCAATTTAAGTTTATAGGACAACTAAACTATCAATTTAAACAAAAATTTACCATCAACTACAGACGTTGCATCCATCGATTCCGCCATGTTTCTCATTGACACTCCCCCAACTCGGAAACTCTGGGCTTAAAGAAAATTTTGAGTTTCCCACTCATAATAATGACTTTGTGGTGGTGTTCATGTGCGTTCAACTCGTAAATACAATCTATCCGTCATGACTTGAACGCACCATTAGGCCGTGCACATCCGCCATGTTTGTAGTTTTTAATGCTTTTTATTCATGTTTGTAGTTCTCAACTGAATCATTCGCCAAAGGAATGGATTGTGGGTAATATTAGCCATCAGAGTGTGCACGGATCCACACTTCAATAATCGACCTGAAATAGCAGACCATCCAGGGACTTCTGGCTTACTCTATTAAGCATACTATGCTTTGGGACACACTTATTCTAATCTCACGTACTATTTAGGATGGATAGGGTGAACATTGGGACACAGGGCATGTCTCCATACACACTGATAAACTACTAAAAGTCACATTCAACACTTCTACAATGGTGTTTCGAGCTGATCTTTGAAGCACTTTTTTTGTGCAAAATTTACAGTTTTCAAATTTCTTGATTTCATATGTTGTTGGTGAATAAGCATGCTTGTCGTTGGTCCAGAATAATAAGATTGAGACTCGGGGCAACCAGCCGAGGCTCATGAGTTCCTCACTGGTCACTAGATCATATGATTGGTTCCAAATGCTTATAATGGACTGGTAATTTTTGGCCCACAGTCGCTTCTCAAGCGGGTGGGACTCTTCAGCAACCCATCAAACTGGCTGGCAGAGTTTGGAGCAGCTGTTTCATATCAATCTGATGAAAAGGATTTAGGGAATCCCATGCTGGATTGGGGAAACTGCTCTCCTCAGCTAACAAACTACATGTTAAGGAGCTGATTTCCCTGTCGATTTGCTGAGTTTTTTTTCTTTTTAAACCCACAGTAGACCAATGCGATCCAGCTTGATATCTGAAGCGTTAGAGGCTTACGTGGCGATAATGAGAGTGCTGCTGATTGAAATCTCTGAGTGCTATAGTTTGATACACAGAACTGAATAATGTTACCACACTAAAATAATGTATTTTAACTGGTCTTGCGCCTAGTAATGTGAACATGATCAGTCCGGTATTCTTACTGCTTTGCAGTAGAATGCTGTGTGTGATGCACAGTAGACAGTGAATGTTGTATGACAATTTCACCAGCAATTTGTGGAAAACATCTGAAACAAACTCCATCCTATCTGCTGTGTGCTTTGCTTCTGGACACATTCAAAGCATAGCATATTAAAATGAGTTCTGACGGATCATGTGACACTGAAGACTGGAGTAATGATGCTGAAAATTCAGCTTTGATCACAGGAATCGAATATATTACAATAGAAAACAGCTATTTTGAATTGTAATAATATTTCACAATATTGCTGTTTTTACTGAATTTTTGAGCACATAAATGCAAAAAAAAAACTTTTAATCATTTTAATCATTTAACAAACTTTTGACGAGTACTCTACCCCTTACAGAATATGCAAGATGATAATAATTTTGACAAAATAAGAGAGATCATAAAAATGCATGCTACTTTTTATGTAGTATTGTCCTGAATGAGCAATTTCACATAACAGATATTTACTTTACTCAATGAAGTTTTTAAAATAATAAAGTTACAATTACATAATAAAATTTCTACTTCAATTAGTTTTTTTGAAATATAAACATAAGGGTGGCTATCATAAAAACTTGATGGATTTATTCAAACATAAATTAAACATTGAAGAACAGTACAATTTATAATAAATATGTAATATGGTGCATATATTTAGCAAAATGCCCCTCTCTACAGTTTATTTTTCTATCTGACTAAAGAGTTTATGGTCACCGAATATGTTTTTCTGAGGTAAATGTGACGCTACATTGTTTATAAGCCGTTATATTGACGTCTTTGTGCGGCTGAAACACTGATTGAGCGATTATTTGAGACCGGATACAGATTGTAAAGTTGTACTCTTTCTTTTAACTCACCTTCGGATGTTTAGTCATGTTTATTTTGTGCTATAACTAGTATTAAAGCGGAGGAGATGATCAGTTCACTGAGGCGCTACAGTGATCTGTCACTCCACATTAAACAGCGCCAAAACTGCATTTATTGTTTGAATACTGCAATACAATGGACATAATTTGAAATCTGAGCCTTTATTTCATATTAAAAGTACCAAAGCATAATGCTTATTGCGATTTATTGGATGGGAAGTGCCCTTCAACTTTCCGTCCATTAACTGAAAACAGGCTAGACTAATCGATTCTTGGGATTTAAGAATCTATATCGTTCCGTAAAAATGAAAATCGATTAAAATCGAGATATCAATATTTTTTACCCAGCCCTAGTTTTTATGTCAGAAACTGCTGTCTTGATTCATGCTATCAGTCAAAAGTTGTTTTTGAAAGAATTCTCTTCTGCTCAGCAAGGCTGCTTTTGTATGATATACAGTATAACAGCAATATTGTGAAATATTATTACAATTGTAATTTATTCCTGTGATACAAAGCTGAATTTTCAGCAGCCATTACTTCAGTCTTCAGTGTCACATGATGTTTGAGGAAAGAAAGATAAAATAGAGATTAACACTTTTATTCATCGAGGACGCATTAAACTGATCAAAAGTGCCAGTAAAGACATTTCTAATGTTACAAAAGATTTCTATTTCAAATAAATGCTGTTCTTTTGAACTTTCTGTTCATCTGTGAATCCTGATACATTACAGTTTAACAGAGATTCACATAGAAAACTGTTTTAAATTGTAATAATATTTCAAAATTTTTACTGTATTTTTAATCAAATTAGTATTGCTGAGCAGAACCGACATCTTTCAAAAACATGACAATCTTAATTATTCCAAACTTTTGACCAGTAATGTATGTTATCTAAATATAATGTATGCATAATATTATTTACAGCTATATAATTATTGGTGTTGTTCAACAAAATACATAGAGCAGCTTTGGAAATTAGCTAATTTAATACTGCGGTCCACACTGCTGCTAAATACAGTCGTCACTCATTTACTTTTGCACACTGACAGATTGTTAGAGAAATGTGCTCTGACTCATTCTCAAACTTTGACAGTCTTTCTTCACTTCATTTTCTCCTGTTAGAACTGTGGTCTAGCAGCAGATGAGAGAGCATGCGGTTTAATGAGCAGAAATAAAACACAGAGCTTCTGCTGACAGTGGTTAGAGAAAACATTTGTCTGTGATTGGTGATTACTTTTGTGAAAAAAATCACTAACAGGTTTAAACTTAATTAGATGGTTTGAACTGTAAGCATCACAATGCCAGCCATCTGTACACACATTAAGTTGTAATTGAGGACATTCATTTCTGTGTTTAAATGATTCCCAAAATTGGGGTGTGTGTATGTTGCCAGAGTCAGCTTAAGAGTGGACTCTTGTTTTTCTGAAACCCTGAGATCAGCTACAGTATAAGGCCAAATCACCTGCAACTCAACATTAGCTGCAACACTAAATCAGACTAAACTTTAACTGAAATAAATGAAATATCTAGAAAAACAGGAATATTTTAGTTCCTCACAACATTTCTCAT